AGTGATTAATATGGGTTCTTATGCTAGGAATCAAGCCTCCCAAGTGCTTTGGATACACAATGGAACAGCAGTCTTGGAGTAACAACAAGAAGCAGAAGTCTACAGGTTTATAATTAACTAGAAATATTTCTTAAGATTTTGTTTTAATAATAACTTATAGCTAACATTGGATTTCAAAATGTTGGCAGCAATCTGGCCTCCAATGGAACAAATCTTCAGAAATTACAGGAAGATTTAGTCAAGGAAAATCGGCGTGTAGAGAAGAAACTAGCCGAAAATCACCTCCATCGACCTCTCTTTCGTATAAGAGAGCTGTTCCATACGGAAGGGAAAGTCTCGGAAAGGTTGTAACAATTTTCTTATGAGTCTACTACAAGTACTTTTCATTTCCCATCTCATGAAAAACATACCCTTTTCTATTTTTTCTTTTTCTTTTCGTTTGTTTAGAGAATTTATTGAAAATTTGCATGCGGACTTTTAAATGACAGGTGACAGCAGGAGTAAAGAAGCTATTATGCAATGCCAGAAGGCCACCTATCAACAGTTTGCTGAAGCATTCTCAATCACTCCTTCGATGAAAACAATTACTCTTATTCAAGAGAAAAAAGTTGAACTCAACAAAGAGGTTTTGTTGTAATTTGGGAGTTCAATTTGTACAGAATTAATGAATCTGGGATTCATCTTGTACATATTGTACATATCTATTGTTATTCTTTCAATTCTTTTGTAATTATATATAGTACACAGTTATTGTAGTTTATAATACCAATGTTCATCATATTTGAAAATTCATTTTTTTTTTTTTTCAAGGGGTGTTATGATTTTATTTTACTTAAAATTAAAATTGATTGCACTTTGCAACAGCACCTTGAATTTTAAGATTCAAAACAAGAATTTCGTTTTAACTAAACTCGTAGAAAATAAAAATCGAGATAGAAATTATATCACGACACATTTTCCAAGACTTAGGTAGTACGATCTACTTTTATACTTCTACCAATGTAACCTATAAAGCAAGTTGTTTTCGACGATTATGAACAAAATTAGAAGAACTTATACATAATTCTAACTTGATCGTACATTTTAAACCACATAAAAATTAGGTATCTCATCAAATTTCCTTCTCCAATTCAGATGTTATGAGTACAGAAAGAAATCATATCAAAAATCTGAACAATAAAAATAAATAAGAGAAAGCAAAAATGAAAAGAAAAACGAAATCAGAATTTATGCTTGGAGGCACTCACGGGTTGTAAAGCGTCATCAGGACGACCTTCTCGCGTTTCCAATTCGCGTTTTTTATTCCATTTTTGAATCTCCTTCCCTAATAACCCAATATCTTCTTTCTCTTCATTATCGTCTTTTCTGTGCTTCTCTTTCTTGAATCTGTTTCCTATATTAAAGCACATATTTTTTTGGGTTTAACATAGGTTGCAACGTACAATTAGTAGTATATAAGAGATAATAGTCCAAAAAGTCATCGAGTTTTTTATGATTTCTCGGTGATGATATCGAGGATTGTGAAATTTATCATTCAAGATTATGCCCCAATTTGGTGGGAATTAAAATCAGTTATTTAATAAATTTTGATAAAAATTGATTAAATATGTTATTGAAAAGTTGTCATCCTCGTGAAATAAGTGATTAAATTAATTGTTAACTTTAATTTTAATTAAAATCTTAAATTTAATCCCTAAAAAAGGGGGAGATATTTTTATGGTTAAAGTAAAACTTAATTATCATGCCATTTGAACCCCAATCTTGGACTCACTTTTAAATAAAGTGTCACAAAGGTGAATTGTTGATCTCAAAAGTTGAAGCCAATTCTCTCAATCATCTCCTTGTCCATTTTTTTTTTCCCGAGCCTTTTATCGATCACAAAAACTTCGAAAAGCTAATTTACAGTGATAACTGCTATCAAGTAAAGACTAGGATGAGTTAGAGTTTAGCTAAGGTTTATCACCTCACATCCCTTGAGTTATTGTTATTTCATAAGATTCTCAAAATCACTTCTCAAATGTTCTTCTAACTATTTTTGGTACATGACATTCTCCTCATGCTGTTATATGGTTAACAAGATACTTTTACACTGCCCAGTTGATAAGTGTTTTGAATTCGATTTAAGGTGTCGAACACAAAGGTTCGGCCTCAAGGCGATAGAGCTTGAGGAAGTTTGATACTCGGGCTTTGCCTGTACAAAGCAATTATTGTGATGCTCATTCTATTTGAGTATTGCCCTTGATAGTTTTTGTGTTATTGTAGTGATGAGATAGGATGATTGAGGATGTTTTGTATGGAATAATTTTGGAGGTAAAAAGTAGTTGACTTTTTATTGAAAGTTAATAGTTTGGAAGATTTTGGTAGAAAGTAATTTGGTGGATAAAGTGGGTAGGAGAAAGGAATTTTATTAGAATGATGATGGCTTACAATAGTTTGAGCTTTGTCTAGCTTCTTTTTTTCTTACAAACAAATGAGGTATCATGCCCTATTTATAGACTCTTATCACATCTTCTAGAGAATTATACAAGTGTCTACAACCTATACAAGATTTTTTGGTGTCCAAGTTACTCTAGTGGAATCTAGACAATTCTAATTTTTTATTATACTTGCTTACCAAAGAATTCTAGGATATTGTAGGCAAGTAATTCTAGATTCTTCTAGAAATGAGCATCATTAAATTTATCACTCCTCCTTGATGCTCATTTCGGTAACTCCAATCATTTCTCGTAGTAGCTCGAACTTTGCTCGTGGTAGCGCCTTCGTGAATATGTCTGCCAATTGTTCTTCAGTTTTGCAATGTTTAAGTTCTATCTCTTTGTTTGCTTCAGCTTCTCTGATGAAGTGATACTTGATGCCAATATGTTTTGTTCTGCTATGAAATACAGGATTCTTGACCATTGCTATAGCTGATTTGCTGTCGCTGTAGATCTTTATTGCTTCATTTTGTGGCTCTCCCATATCTTCAAGTATGCGCTTTAACCATATTGCTTGACTCGTAGTCATTGCTACTGCAATATACTCTGCTTCAGCTGATGATTGTGCAACCATTGCCTGTTTCTTTGATGCCCAAGAAAATATTCCCTAACCTAGTGTGAATGCATAGCCTGATGTGCTCTTCATATCATCTACTGATCCTGCCCAATCGCTATCAGTATACCCAAGTAGTCTTGAGTCAGACGTAGACTCATACCTTATTCCATAGTCCTTTGTTCCTTGGAGGTATCTTAGTATCCGCTTTGTAGCTCCATAGTGAACTTGACTTGGATTTTGCATAAATCTTGAAAGTAGGCTGGTTGCATACATTATGTCTGGCCTTGTAGCAGTTAGATAGAGTAAACTTCCAATTAAGCTTCGAAATTGTGAACTATCTGCTTTTGGAGTACCGTCTTCTTTTCTGAGTGATTTGTTGCTATCCAGAGGTGTTGTTACTGTTTTGCAACCTTCCATCTTGAACTTTTTTAATAGATTGGTGGTATACTTCTTCTGAGCTATAAATATCCCATCTTTAGATTGAGTTACCTCGATCCCAAGAAAATAGTGCATTAATCCCAGATCAGTCATCTCGAACGTTTTCATCATATCTTCCTTGAATTTCTTGATCATCTTCTCATCATTCCCTGTGTAGATGAGATCATCAACATATAAAGAGATTATAAGTGTACTATTTGTACCTTGGTTTTTGATGTATAGAGTTGGTTCACTTTAGCTCCTCTTGAATCCTTGTTTAGTGAAATAGTTGTCAATTCTGCTGTACCAAGCTCGCGGAGCTTGTTTTAATCCATATAGTGCCCTCTTTAGTTTGAAAACTTTATATTCTTTACCTCGAACCACGTACCCTTGAGGTTGCTCCACATAAATTTCTTCTTCAAGATAACCATTAAGAAATGTCGATTTGACGTCCAGCTGGTAAATCTTCCACATTTTCTGTGCGGCTAGTGCAATTAACGCCCTTATAGTATCGAGACGTGCAACAAGGGCAAATGTCTCAGTGTAATCGGTGCCAAACTGCTGTGAGTATCCTTTGGCAACTAGTCTTACTTTATGTTTTTGAATTGAGCCATCAGCATTGAGTTTTGTCTTGTAGACCCACTTAACTCCTATGACTTCTTTATCTTGAGGAGGATCTACAAGCTCCCAAGTATTGTTTTTCTCGATCATTTTTATTTCTTCATCCATAGCATTTCTCCATTTTGGTTGTTTTGAAGCTGCTTCATAGCTTTCAGGTTCTATGATCATCAAGTTGCATCTTTCATATATTTCTGATAATCTTCGTGTCTTTCTTGGCGATGATTCTGGTGAGTCAACTGGTTCTTCTATAACTGTATGCTGCGGAGACTCTGGTTGATTGTTCTCCTCAACATCACTCTCCTGCTTTTGTGGTTGTGTAAGGGTGCTGACATCTTTTTTCTCAATTTGACCAGTCTCCCAGTTGTAGGTGGCATCTTCATCAAACTTTACGTCTCGACTTATAATTAGCTTCTTTGTTCTTAGGTTATATACTCGATAGCCTTTTGATTGAGTACTATTACCTAAGAAGATTCCTTTTTCACTCTTTTCATCCAGCTTACCTCTTTTCTCATGAGGTATATGTGTGTAGCAGATGCAGCCGAAAACTCTGAGATGTTTTGCTGATGGTTTTCGTCCGCTCCATGCTTCAACTGGTGTTTTGTCGTGCACTGCCTTTGTCGGACATCGATTTAGTAGATACACTGCAGTGCTTACTGCTTCTGCCCAAAATGTTTTTGGAAGACCTTTCTCCATCAGCATAGCTCTAGCTGTCTCCATTACTGTTCTGTTCTTTCTTTCTGACACGCCATTTTGTTTCGGTGCGTACCCAACAGTAAGTTGATGCTCCATTCCTTCATCTTCACAAAACTTGTTGAATTTATTTGATGTATATTCCCTGCCTCTATCGCTTCTGATAGTTTTGATTTTGCAACCACTTTGCTTTTCGACATAGCTTTTGAACTTTTTGAAAATCTCAAATACTTTGGATTTTTCTTGTAAGAAATATACCCATGTCATTCTAGTATAGTCATCTATGAATAGAATGAAGTACCTGTTTTGGTTATGTGATGGAGTACGCATCGGGCCACATACATCCGTGTGTATCAACTCCAAAGACTTTTTGGCTCTCCATGCTTTTCCAGATGGAAATGGTTGATGGTGATGTTTCCCACTCAAGCATCCTTCGCAAATTTCATCAATTTCTTTTATGACTGGTAATTCTCTCATCATGCTCTTTTGCTTCAAAATCTTTAACCCATGGAAGTGGAAATGTCCAAATCTTTTATGCCACAACCATGACTCATCTACTTGCACCGCCATTGCCGCATTGTCTGCGTATCTCCATTGGATTGGAAAGTATCTGTTCTCCCGCTTTTTGACGTTTGCAATTACCAGATGTTTATCTTTCTTATCATAAATTGTACAATAATCTCCTTCAAAATGTATACTGTATCCTTTCTCCATCATCTGACCTACACTTAGTAGATTTTGATCTATAGTAGGGACTAAGAGAACTTCATTAATGTATCTCTTGCCCTTTTTTGTATCAACGGCAATAGTACCTTTACCTGTAGCCTCTATAAAATTTCCATTGCCAATTTTTATTTTTGTATTTATTTTATCGAGACTGCAGAAAATACTTTCATCCTTCGTCATGTGATTACTGCAGCCACTATCTAGATACCACGTATCTAATTTCTTTTCAGAGACATTCTTCGTGGAGGCATAAAATAGATTTCCTTCTGTCTCCTTTTCTTCAGAGAAATTAGCTTGATGATTTTGTTTAAGGCGACAAAATTTCTCTTCATGTCCAAATTTTCTACAGTTACGACATTGTGGTTTACCTTTAAACCAACAATCTTTCTCCTGATGACCTTTTCTTTTACAAATACTGCATGAAGAATACTTATCGCTTTTATCAACTTCTTTTCCTTGAATTTCTTTATTTTTCAAATTCTCTTTAAATTTTCTTCCACCTTCTTTAGATTTTTGAAACCGCATATTAAGTTTCGATTGAAAAGCGTTTTCTATCTCCATTTCATAGAGCCTTTCTAATCTTTTTTCATGAGCTTCTAATAATCCCATTAATTCTGCAGCTGTTAATTCATATATAACCTTGGATTCCTCAATAGCTGCAATAATTGGATCATATTTTTCTGTGCAAGTAATTAAAATTTTTCTAACAACCTTCTTTTCGGGAACATCATCACCATAAGACCTTAGTTGATTTACTATTTCATCTATTCTTGAGTAATAATCTTTTGCGGTTTCCGACTCTTTCATTTTTAGATTTTCAAAATTCCTTCTTAAAGTTTGAAGGCGGCAGGTACGTACCTTGTTACTGCCGTAGAACTCCTCCTTCAACTTATCCCATGCTTCTTTCGCTGTTTTGGCTCCCATAATTCTTGGAAAATATGTATCCGGCAAGCTCATTTGTAGAGAAAGTAATGCTAGAGAATCTTTTTGTTGATTCTCCTTAAGTTCCTTCTTTTGTGCGGAAGTTAAAGTGGAAATGTCATCTGGGTTAGTATACACATCGTTGACGACATCCCATAAATTTTAAGCACAAAAGTAGGTCTTCATTTTGATAGACCAAAAATCATAGTTATCCCCATTAAATGTTGGGACAGGAATTGATGAGCGGAAAGCGTCTGCCATCATATATGCGTACGCCCAATATCAATCGAACCTGGCTCTGATACCACTGATAGTTTTTGTGTTGTTGTAGTGATGAGATAGGATGATTGATGATGTTTTGTATGGAATAATTTTGGAGGTAAAAAGTAGTTGGCTTTTTATTGAAAGTTAATAGTTTGGAAGATTTTGGTAGAAAGTAATTTGGTGGATAAAGTGGGTAGTAGAAAGGAATTTTATTAGAATGATGATGGCTTACAATAGCTTGAGCCTTGTCTAGCTTCTTTTTTTCTTACAAACAAATGAGGGATCATGCCCTATTTATAGACTCTTATCACATCTTCTAAAGAATTCTACAAGTGTCTACAATTTATACAAGATTTTTTGGTGTCCAAGTTACTCTAGTGGAATCTAGACAATTCTAATTTTTTATTATACTTGCTTACCAAGGAATTCTAGGATATTGTAGGCAAGTAATTCTAAATTATTCTAAAAATGAGCATCATTAAATTTATCAGCCCTATTGTAGAGGGAGGTCGGTGGGTCCAACTTATACTTTTTTTAAAAAATGAGCGGGCCCCACCAATGTGTCTAACCTGGCAGAGGCCTGTGAGCCTTTGCCTGTACCTGAAGCACTACTCATTCTATTTTCACCCAATAATAACGTTGTCTTGACGATCCACGTGCCCCCTCCAATGTCCTTGTGTGGTCATTCTACGTCATGGAGATTTCTTGTAACATATATATTACTTGATAGATACTATTTATATGTTTAAAGTCAAGTCTTTCGTAATTTTACAATTAGAAGTCACATATTGTCACCATATAATAAACTTATCTAAAATGTTAGATTCTTAATTATGAAATATGTAACGAAAAGATAAAATATATACCCATAACAGTTTATAGCGGTTAATTTCTATTCGGAGAATATAATAAATATGGGTTCTGATTTTCACATTATAATAATGCCAAAAAGTATTCCCTAAATTAACTATTGAAGCAAAATTAATTTGAATTGGTGTGAAAGTTTGCTATGTTGATTTTACTAGGTCCACCTGGTCGACCCCTGTCTAAACCAAAAGGTTTAAAACTTACACGGTAAATTTCATTCATGCTAATTATACCTTCATTGTATCAATTAGGAAATTGGACTTAAATTTTATTTAACCAAAAGGTTTAAAACTTACACGGTAAATTTCATTCATGCTAATTATACCTTCATTGTATCAATTAGGAAATTGAACTTAAATTTTATTTAATTGGATAACTACTTATTAATATGATTTATGTTGACCATCGAACTCCGATCTCATGAGAAATGTTCATGGGCCCCATCTCAAGTAGATATGAGTTCGACTAAGATCCTCAGCTCGTTGCCGCTGTAATCTCAGGAGACATCATGATTACCCCTGTCACATCAATCTCTCAAATCAACACATTCATTAGGAGTGACGTCATCGCCGCCCATGGCCACCAATCCATAGCTCGGAATCTCCAAGTTGCCTGAGGGTCAGCATTACCTGAAGAAAACATTGACACATGGCCACCGACCTCGTCGACCAATCAAATGAGAATTCGGCGACTTGAGTTTCGAGCTCGGTACTGTAGCTGATTTGATTGATTTGATGTAATTTCGGCTGAAAATATGTATAAATAGTAAAGGAATTGTTACCCCAAGGACAAGTGAATTCATATGCAAACTCATTACACGATTACATATTCTCAATTGATTTGTGGCCCATTTAGCAATAAATCACCTTTTTTCTTAAAGTTTGCTCAAGATGTGAATTCAAACTCATTACACGATTACATATTCTCAATTGATTTATGGCCCATTTAGCAATAAATCACCCTTTTTCTTAAAGTTTGCTCAAGATCAGTCTTACAAATTTTGAAGTCAACAATTTCAATCGGTAGCTCTGTCCCATTCCACCCCTTAGTCCAAAGGAAATGATGACTTGACAATAAATAACTAAATAAAATAGTGACATCGTTTATTTTACCAAAGTTATACTGATTCCTTATTAGCAACTAAGATTACATAGGGTGACCATTATTGATTGCCACCCACCTCATCAATTCTGTTGGTGGAATTGGACAAAGTTACGTTAAATTGAATATTAGTTACCTAACTGAAATCAAATTAAGTTGTAGTTATCCAAGAGAACAAAGTTGAAGTACGATTATCTAATTGACACTTGGTGAAAGTATAGTTACCGCAATTTACTTGAAAATTACTCAATAAACTACATATAGTTTTAAGATTTCAACTATATTACTATTATTTTATAATTTAATAAATATTGCCTTTTTTTAATGGTGGTGGGGTGATTTAATGTTTTAGAGGTAGTGGTTTATGGTCATGGGGCAGTGGTGGTGGTGTGGAGGCTTGATTCTTAGCATGCGGTAGTCGTGGGAAGGGCTAAATTTTTGTAGGTGATGGAGATTGTGGCGGTCTTGATGGAGGTGGCGGTGGCCTGATATTAAAGATTTACATTTGTGGCACGGTATGTTACGATATCAGTGGTGGTCAGAGAAACAAGCAATGAAATCCATGTAATATACTGTAACAAGTGGCAGAGACGATGAGATATGTATAACATAATATAATACTCAATGTGTTATAAAATGCATGGCAATTATATTAAATAAAAATTAATAAAAATGAGCGTGTGGAGGTTGTATAGTATATTCTGAAATAGCTTATTCTGTGTTCAGGGAAAAAAAAAATTTAATAGTTTGTTCTTTTAGTCTATTTATAATTTCTTCCAAAGTTTAATCAAACTGGAGGCATGGCTTATTTTGGCCCGACTTTGATCTTCATTAAAGCTTCCCAATCTCAAAAAAAAAATTGATCCCAAGTTCTAACCCAAAAATAGGGGGCATAGCCAAGAATTTTAGCTACGGCGCCGACCACACTAAACTATGATGGTCATTTAAGACAATCGACATCAAGGCGATATTTTATAGAGAATATGATAATTGAAGAAAGCTATAATATCGTTCACTTTATACAAAAAGAAAAATTGTTAGGAAAACATAAAACAAATCACGGAGTAACCATACATAAAATATGCGAATGGAACTACATGTTAGGGAATAAAAAGCTCTTTTAAAGGTTAGAAACGAATTTAACAAATTCTCAAAAGAAATATATCGAGAGAGATCGAATTTGAACCTGAATCCATCCAATGAAAAATTGATAGTTTACCACTAGATTACAAGAAAAATGTTAATTATATTTTTAAATTACATTTTTTATATTTTCTGAAAAATTTATAAATTTAAAATTTTCCTTAAATAAAACTAAATTTTTAAAATCATAATGGGGCAATTTACCTCATTGCCCCCACTTTGAATCTGCCACGGCAACAAACCAAAAAAAAAGGAATAAAGATTGTCTTGTTTCTCCACCTTTGTCTCGCTTGACTTACTTTACATGCGTACAAAATTTTGGGTATTACAATTTTTTTTAACAAAAACTAAAATGCAATATTTTGCAACTATAAACAAAATAGAAAGTAAAATATTTCCCTGCTAAATCCAATGATTCCACTCATAGTTGTTTTTACTCTTTGAAGATAATTAAATCACACTATTCATCATTCAAAATAACATTCAAATTGAATATCTAATTGTTTTCCCTTCTATCTTGAAATAACATTCAAAACTGAATGTCTAGCGATAATAATCATCGACAGATAATCGGGCATATACGTACCACTGAACTAGGCCATAGGATGAGCAAGATAATATTTCGTAATATTGTCTATTACTATCTGTTCTTTCCTACTAAACGTGTCACCATATCATTAACGGATCGAATACACACTATTATTTAGTGAATATGAGTATTTGACCATTAATCGATGGTTGTCAGCATAATTTCCATCCTTAAGCTGCTGCCACTGTCTCGCTATCGCCGGAGGTGTCCGACGCAGGCAGTGGCTGCCGCCACTTTAGAGTGGTGATGATGACTTTCAGCCTTCCTCGAAACTTCCATGGAGCGACGTTCTTTCTTTTCGTCTTGTTTTATTTGTTGCTCTCTGCATTCTGGACTACAAAATGCTGCATCACCCCTATATTCACACAGCCAAACAGAAAGATAGCAAAAAAATCTCAAAAGTCACAATACTTTCAACGTTTGGGCTTAATCCGTTACACTTTACGATGATGATGATGTCATGTCAAGCCATTTTCATGGGGCGGGATGGTTGAGAAAGAGAGTTCCGATATGGAGATACCTATACATGTAGATATCACGACCTGGCGGCAGATGGCGGTTGCAGAGGCCGCAGGTCGTCAAGAAATCCGCCGTCTCTATAGTGGCGGAATCACCTGAACCACCACTCATGGAGAATCCCGTAGGCATCGTAGCTATTGATCCTTTATTATATCCACGCGGACGCGTAATTACAGTTTCAACTCCACCACCGCCGATCATACGATTTTGAGGCCCCAACGGCGGCGGAACTTCTCCGGTGGAAGCATTTATTCCCGACATGCTTATTGTCCTCTTGCCCAACATCAGTCCTTTGGCAGTGAAAAGGAGGGTGAGGTGGCGTGGCGTGGCGTGGGGGTGGTGATAATGGAGGAGTGGAGGATCAGGAAGTGGAGATTAACAGGATTTAAAAGGGGGGTGGAATGAATCTGAGTCGTTGATTTTGTTTAATAGGTTATACATCATGACATCGTTTTCATGTTTTTTAATAATTTTCTGTCTTTTTTTCTTTATAATTTGATTGGTTTTTCTTTTCCTTTTTATATGCCAATGACATAATGACGCAACTTTTTTAAATAATATTTTCACTATCTTTTAATCGTTCAAAGTTAATTTAATAAAAAAGTCGTAAGCCATATTTTTTTTACCACCTAAATCCAACGATGTCTTCACGTGGACGTCATGCGTGACAACGAAGGTCCCTTTGACTCTGAACTAAGAAAAAAAAAGGTGGTTGATCCACATATTTGGCATCATATCCGTCAAAGCTCCTATCCATCTAGCTTCGCCTTTCCTGTTCGTATCAACTATGTTCATTGCAAAGCACCACCAAACAGACGAACACTCATCCGTCATAAACTTTTGCAAACCATGGAAATTGAACTTATAGTTTTGCAAATAATGAAGAACATGTTTGATAAGGAAATCACCTTATAAATCCTGAAAATCAGCATGTTATGATTCTTAAATATAAGGGAAAATCATTTAGAATCAATCCCAACAAGAAAACTTAGCTGCACAAGGAAATAAACTTCATAAAAAAAAATAAAATAAAATAAAAAATAAAAAATAAATCTACCATAACTAAACAATGAGTCATGATAAGAAGTAAAAAAGGCAATGGGTGGATTTAGAGCTATAGGCCCCAATCTTTATTCCCCCAAAATTCTCTCATATATATGAAGAGGACATAGGTAAAGGTAAAGATATACAGTTCTCTAAACACTTGCCAAATCAATCACCACACATTTTTTAAATCAAAAGCCGTCGATCCTTTTTATTGGCTCGGTGATCTTGATGCTAAAGGTTTGTGTCCAAGTGTAAAGGTAACGTACAAGTTGGCATTTTAGATATAAATTTAATCTCAACATGAAATTAATGTGCTGCATTAATGCGTGCTAGTCTACAATTTGCACCAATGTGACACTTATGCATTTATGTTAGTTTATGATCTAGAAGCTAAAGAGGGTAATGGTGGGCGCAATATGGATTCTTTTCATTTTGTAGTTTAAATGCCTTGTAGTGACACTAATAATCACTATTTATAAGTTTAAATATGTGCTTTCATCGGAGTCGTCCCCTTTGTTGGTAGACCATATTATCCGTGACATATATAATTTACATGATCATTTATGTAGTACTTGTCGTGTAGCGTCACGCGTTCCAACTAAGAAAATTCGTCCATAGAAACTAATTTATATCACTTGTATGGTTAGATACAGTCCCATATATAAATAAAGAGTACACCAAGATAGACTACCATATAGACTTTAACATGACCCTTCATTTCACGAGGTTCAATAAGAACTCGGGATATCAAAAATCAATTATTTTTTACTTCTGAAGTATGTCGTCATTGCCCCAATGTTTTTGCTAACTCATCTTTTGGATGGTGAATTTACAATAGTTCAACTAGTCAACTTTTCTATGTCGTTCACATTGTCACTACGTTTTTCTCAATTTCTTTGCTACATGAACAAATAGTCTTGTAGCACTAACCAATGTGTAATTGATGCTTGATTGGACATATGCACCACATTTTTGAACTACATAAATTATTAATAATATTTGGGGTTAACTTTTATTGATATCATTAAAGTATTAAAAGACAAGATTAAATTATTAAAACATTGAATGGGATGTTTAAATATTCCAATTTTAATTGTGATGTTGGGGGAATGAGTTTCCAAAGTCTGAGGGGAAGCTTAAATTGAGCATGTGGGCTATACCATTGAGAGATACAGCTTACAATAATAAATGCGAAATAGAAAGGAAGTGTCTCACCAAATTAAATATACCTTAGCATGTCAACAAATTAAAAATAAAAATAAAAATAAAAAATTGAGATTTCAGTCCATTTCTACGTTGAATATTTGGAAGATCGATTAGATAACATTGAATAATATTAAAAAAAAAATAGTTATTGTACTATACAGTAAGATTTAACATGGTATATTTGATAAGTGTAGTTTTTACACTTATTTGGGATCTTATATGATGATATTTTGTTATTCTTTGAACGGATTAGTACCTGATTTGTTATTTATTGCTTTTATTAGGAAAATTTCATGTTTCAAAGAAGAATTGGAAAAAAAACGAAAAATAGCTAAATGAAGCAAATCCAAAGTATGGGGACCAAAGTATAAATATCTAATGGTTGATTTGGATCACAAAAGATACTTTGAAGATTAATAGGAGTCAATTGAATGCAAATTGGAGTCAAAAAGGAAAGGAATGTGATTAGAATATTACCATAAATCGACATCCAATCATATAGGATATTTTCAAGATTTTTGGTCAACTTGAGACCCATTTTTCGGATGAAGAACGTTTGAATTGGAAAAATTATATTTCTAGAAGAATTGTATATCTTTTAATTATCTTTTCAATGCACTTTGAATCACCTGAATTGGAAATCGAAAGAGAAAGTTATGATCAAAATACTGAAAGTTGTGCAGAGATAAAATTATGTGTGCGCAAAAGCAACTTTCCTTATTTGATTCAAACTCTTTTGGAAGACAATTTGGACATAAATTTTGATCTAATTTCATCATATAAATACAAGATATGGGCAGCAATGAAAGGATCTCTCTCTTGTCTCTTTATACACAATAGTTTCATCAAATCCATCAAGAACAAGGGGTTAACTGCTATATTTTGAAAAAGAAGATCAAGTCATAGCAAGGAATTGAAGTTCAATTACATCAAGTTTTGACAAATTCAACTTTGGACGTGAAGATCAACATCTTTTGTATTTTTTCATGATTCGGGTGATATTTTTCTATTATTTTTCTTGTAATTTATATATTAATATGTTAGGTTAGTTTTTTCATTGTATTGGATGAGATGAACCCTATTATTTATTTATTTTAATTCAAGACAAGTATTTAGTTTAATTCGTGTGTTACTTGATTAATTTTGCATTCCCATTGCACTATTGAATTGTTTGTCCATCAATTGAATAGTTAGTTACTTGTTGTAGTGTAGGAATACTCACAATGAGTTTTGAACGTGGCAAAATTAACATGTATAGTTAGGATTATGAATAATATCTATCATACATGCAATCATATTGATAACTTAAACTAAATGCATGATTTGCATATAAATTCGGACTAGGAATAGGATCAGATCGCATTAATCATAGGTTGGTGTATCTTGAAAAAGGAACATTTAACATATTAGTGTTGTCGATTGTCAAGAACTCGTGAAAGAAATTAGATTACGAATCAAGAATTGAAATAAATAGCAATAAGCGGAGTGAAAATCCAATACAATCCTCCATAATTTAATAAAATCCCAATTTTTATTGCTTTCTTAGATTAGTTTAGTTTAAATCAAATCAAAATATTTATTTTGTTTTCATAACTAAAATTCCATACGAAACTAGTAAACTTGAATTAAATTTATTCTCTGTGGGACGATAACTCTTAACTCACTTATTATTACTTGCCAACGATCATGTACGCTTGCGAGTATCACACGAACAATATCATATCAAATATGCCATAAAATATACTATAAAATAAAATTTTACGATTATCTCCTAAACACTGGTGTTTAGCTTATATTAAACATCGATAATATGACACGCCATTTAATTGGTGAATAAGTTAATAATATGTCCATGTATTTTATGATTCACCAAAGGTGGTAAACTTTTCAATATTGTAGTGCATGAATCCTATTCAATGGATCATTTTTTATCTATTTAAAATTTTCAATATTGAATTTTCATAACAATTGTCATAGAAAATGTGATAATAATTGTCATCGAAAGTCTTTCATGATTATTATAGTATCATTGTATATTACATTTCAGGGATAAACACGTCTTAGAAATTTTTCATAACATATGATTTCAAGATGATTGAAAATAAGAATAAGACCATGTCGACTTGTTCAACTGTAAAATTGGAATGATTTCGGAATCTAATTCAATTATATACAAAATAGAAAATTTTAAACGCATTAAAATAACTAAAGAATTAACGGATTTGCCCAATTCAAACAATTTACTCATAGTTTTTTTTTTTTCTCTATTTAAATTTTTTATAACCTATTTCAACCTAATTCACCCCTTAATCCTTGATCCATTAACTTTTAAATCAACGGTCGAGTTAGTTTATTTATTGATTTTGAGTCTTGAAAACAGAAAATTTTCTAGTACTCTTAAATTATATTATTGAGTACTAAATATTCTCTTCTATTATTTAATTGATATGTGTATTAAATAATTGAGACCCTTTAATTGGGATCCAAACATGACTGAATAATTCATGTGTCAATTAAATAGCAACCAGAGTATTGTATATTAATATTTGAAAAGGACTACAAAATTTCTTTAATAAATTTTTAATTGGATTCCATAGTTAAGTCCATATTGGCAGTGTTCTAAGAATTATCACAACTTTTTCTTTATTTTCCTTTTTTTTTTTCATGTCAAGTTTACTCCGTCCACTTGTCACTTTTACATTGATCTCTCTTTTCCTTTTTTCTTTTTTCTTTTTTCTTTTTTCTTTTTTTTAATTCTTTTAATTCGATTACTTTAATATATGAACAATTAAACGTTTCTCATATGATATTTAGAGAATGACCTATCAATTAAAAGTATAGAATTTATTAATCATTTTGAACGATTATTATAAAAGAAATTAAAATGTGTCAATTATTGGGACCATGTTGGTCCATTAACATAGTGCTTTTTGACGAAATAAGAAAACAATAGATAACATTAACCAATGAATATGACAACTTAAGCAATACCAGTATAGACTAGCATATTGTATGGAGCCGACCATTAAAATGAACCATTGTTAGAATCTCCAAGTGGTAAATTCTTATGTGGTAGGATGTCTCATTCTTTTAATCTTTTATATTTCATTTATATTTTCATTTTATATGAAAATTTGCACTATT